ATTTATACATGAAACACCTTTCTTTATGACCCATCTATTAATATTCCGTGTAACTATTTTCACCTGTCATCATTCCTATTAAGTCCTTTTAAGGCAAGAGAGAAAGTCAAGAGGTACTATTGTACAGATAATCCAACACTGAAAAAAGGGGGATATCATTTACCATTGCAAAATTAATCAAGAGAGGAAGTACAAATAGTGATAAAAAGCTACTGGTGTCAGGAAATATTTTTCAAATAAGCTCACAAAGCAAGAGTGACATAAATACATTATCTGTAGGTAGCATAGAATATATCCAAAATACTGAAACCAGTCAAGGGAGAACACAAGACAGGCTGCTGTTTTTCATTGTTTGATTAACTGTAGGCTAGTTGAATACTAGAACAAAAAAAGAATGTCAGATAAAAAAATGAATAGTGTTTTTAGTATACCTCTAGTACACTACTTGAGACATAAGAATTCATGTCTACTTGAGAATTCCTTACAAAACCTGATTTTAAAAAAAATGTTAATATACTAGCTGGATAAAAATTGCAAATACAAAAAAAAAAAAAAAACCTTTGAATACGGAAAAGTGTTCAGACTAGGTGAACACTAGATTCAACCAACCCTAGAACCATTGAAAAAGGAATATCTGGGGACATTCCTTTACCCTCCAAGCCTCCGGAATTCTAATAGCAAAGGAGCAGTGATGAATCGCTGCTAGCCAGCTGGAACTTCATGCACTGCTTTTACTTGCTCCCTTTCTATTTTGTGTTTGACTTAATAGTCTTCTCCCCCTTTTCCCTTCTCACATTTCACGCCACCCTGCAATTCTTCATTGCAGTGTAAGATTAAAAAGAAATTAGTAAGCCCAAGGCAAGTGGCTGATCTTGAATTCAACTACTGTGCCATCTAGACAATAGTATGACTACTTTTCCTCCCAGCAACACCACATATGCCTGCTCTTTTATGGCATTTTTTTTAGCAAAAAGATCCTGAAAATCACTAGTAATCCTAAGATAACAAGAATTTCAAGATTCAATAAGCTTTCAAAATGGGATCCAGATGTATTCTTTAAGCCCTTTTAAATCACAAAGCAAGGCAAGGTGGCCTGACTGACTGATTAAATGATTATTTCTGCCTGGATTTAATTTTTGGCTCTTTTGGGAATTCATCTGTGGTCTAGAGTAAAGCATTAGTCTTTTACTCAGAAGTCTGAATTTGGCTTCTCTTAGGTTTACATGTGTAGCACTCATTAGAGATGAATTCTTGTCTATTAAAACTCAGCTCAGAAATCACCTCATTTCTGAACCCCATTTTCTCCTCTCCTTCCTCAGACACTTTTACACATAATTGCTCTTAAGTTCACATACACACCTTTGTGCCTACACCTCCTAGGTTGAACTACAATCTGTGTCACAGTCTATACCCATTCTACTTACTAAAGGGTTCATTTTTAGACGCACAAAGGGTGTGTATAATCCTCTTCCTTTGCATATGGGCAGGACTTGCGCTTAAGGTGGGTTATTGTCCCATGGATCAGGTTACTTTATATGACAAAGATGAGGGAATAATATGTTCTATAAGATTTTCAGAGCAGGTGGCAGGGACACTGCACTACAGGGGTCTTGATTTTGGTCCACTGAGATTGAGTTTGAACTTCTGATCTCCAGAACAATAAAATAATAACAAAATAACAGATTTGTGTTTTTTTAAGCCACTGGCTGTGTGGTAATTTATTTCCATAGCAGTAGGGATTTCAACCCCTGCCCCATTCTACATGATCTTTGGTGACTGTTAATCATGTACTTTTCCACTCCTTCTTCTTCAAAGAAAAGACATAACCCAGATTTTCTAGACCAAGATCAGAATGGAAGACAGTTGGATCAAAATCATGCCAGTGCATCCCCCAGGATATCTTAAATGAATTTCAACACTTGAGACCCCTGTATGTCTATCCTTCCCAATGTTGACTGGTTACCTCTGAGCCAGTTAGAATGCTAGTAAATTCCATTTGGTGTGGGCTTGGGGGTTTAAACCAGTCAAATGCAATTTATTTTGCCTACAATCAAAATACCCTATCAGCTATCATTTAGTGAGAACTTATTTTCTTCTCCCCCAAATATTCTCTTCAGTTTGACTTTGCATTTGAGGTATTATGCTTTGTCTGTAATTAGGTTTTAACTCTATGGTAACTCTTTATATTTCAACTCTTTACAACAACTCTTACAATAATTCTAGAATTATGTATTTTTAGTACCATTTCACTGAAGGGAAACAGACACCAAGTATTAATGTGCCCAATGTCACATGGCTATTTTGTGGATCTTGTTCTTACAAGTCCACCCACCCAGTGACCAAGTTATATTGTTTTCAGATAGGTGATGTCTGCCAAAGAAAGATGGAAGAGGCATTTCTCACAGAGGGAAGGAAGACCCCAAAGTTAAGGGCAAGGAGGAGGCTATGCATATAACCGTTACAGAGATAAAAGCTAAAGGAGGAGAGTATTTTCAGAGGGGAGGAAAATTGCTGACTAGAGGAACTAATCAATCAACCATTGTTGGTTGTTCCTTCCAATTATTGTGTTTTGTGCTGTGATGTTTGGACAAAATATCAAGCGAAAGAATTAAGAGAACAAAAGACCTGGTTCCTGTTCCCGTGGTCTTAGTAATCTAGCTCTGATGATAAGACCAGTGACCAATGGGCTCTTTGGAGGATTACAAGAGATAATACAAGGAAATCTCTTAGTAAGGTGTTTGGAAGTAATGAGGCTAAGTAAATATTTAGTCTAATTCCAGTTTTTTTTTTAAGATTTATTTATTTACTTACTTAGTTACTTATACAAGCACTGGGTACAGTCAGGAGTGCGGGAGGGTGAGAGAATTCACCAGAGCCAGAGCGGGGAGCAGAGCAGGCAGAAGGACCGAAGTACACTGCTGAGGGGAGCAGCGGGCGGCAGGAGAGGTGTACGTGCCATGCAGGACCCTCCTCCGGTGGCCGGGGAGCAGCCGGGGATCGAACCAGCGCTGCAGAGGCTGCGGGCAGCTTTGCAACTCAGCGCTCAACCTCTGCGCCACTGGGGAGGCCCCTAATTCCAGTTTTGATCAGCCCTTCATCAGGGATAAATTCTTCGCTTAGACATGGTAATGCCTCCACCTGAGATTTACCTTCCTCCTCTGGCTTCCAGCACTGGTGCGTTTCCTGTGCACCTGTCTGAAGGTAATCTTACTTTCCTCCTCCTTCAGTTTCTTGGAGGGCTTTCACTTTGGGTTCCAACATATCACCATAATGCTTGTTGGATAATGTGGCAGGATGGAGTTTTCTCCTCCTACCTCATCCTCATTCCTGGTCAGAAGTCCATTTTTGATGAGAAGGAACAACTATGGGCATACTAATGCATGAGCTGTATATTTAGCAATATTAGCCTGTGAAAGGTTGACTATTCTCAGTGTTTCCTTTTGAGGTTGTATTATTTCAACCTAATGTCCTCCAGATGGAAGGAAGGGTCTAAAACCCTCCCCTCCAGGATCATCTAGGAAAAGTTGTTAGTCTGGGGCAGGAGCCTAAGGGAGGAGATGAGGTCTAGGGAAAGGACAGAGATAGAAAAATCAAAAGAGATACAGGGGAGAACTGACAGTGGATTAGGATGTGAACCAAGAAGTAATGAGAGAGGAGCCAGTACATTTCTTCATTACTTTAATGTATATTTCTAGCCATTCACTACATTTGAGGAAATGTGTTCATGGGACAATTCTCCTGACTTCAAGGATCTCAAATGACAGTGAAAACATGGACAATACACTAGTGAATGGTGGAACACCTAGAAAATGCTGGAGAGTAGTAAGTCATAAAACAGAGAGAAAAGAGGGTGATATACTGGAGAGCACCTGGGGGTGAATGAGACAGGGATTCATCACAGGACACCAACACAACCTGGAGCTGGGACCTTCCATTTAACTTCCATTTGTGGGTGCAGATCTGGGAGTTGCCTCAGTGGTCTCCACTCTGTTGCTCCACCACAAGTCCGTTGAGACAGTTGCTGCTCAGAACTGCCCTTTTCTGCACGCTTCCTGGGTTATGGCAGGACCAATCAGGTGGAAGCTATGAGCTGATTGGTGCTAAGTGGTCCAGTCAGCCAAGGATGAAAATGGTCCAGGGCCTCCCTGGTGGCCTAGGGGTTAAATCTCGGCACCCATCATCACTACTGCCTGAGTTTGATCCCTGGCTGGGATCTGCCCCACAGGGCACAGCAGACCTCTCCTGCCTTGCCGGCTGCTCCCCTCCCCAGTGTGTTTCAGTCAGTCTGTCTGTTCTGCTCACTCTACACCTCTGGCCAATACCCCAGTTATTCTGCACAAAAAAAGAAAAATAGTCCAACCAGACTTGATGTTGGGACATCCTGAAGAGTGATATAAGCCAGGGTTAGAGGGAGCTTAGGGCTCTGTTCCAACCTCCAAAGAAAGAAGGGGAAGACTCTGTTCCTGGCCTCTGAAGAAAGGAGGGCCAGAAGCTGAAAGAAGACAAGCAGCATCCAGTAGCCAACCTCTGTGGGAGGAAGAGAGGATGAAGACCTCTGTCAGAGACTGGGCCTCCAGTCCTGTGCCTGACATCACCGGAAAGGAGCACCAAAGGCTCCGGGCCTCATGTCTGAAAGAGCTGTTTGTTGTTGGTGTTGTCCAGCAACTCACAAAGAACGTTTTAACACTTTGTGTCTCTGACATCAGCTGGGATCCCAACTGAAAAGGGTAGTCACAGGGCATGAATGGGATGCCAGGATAGGCCTCAGTGGCACCCACCTGCCCAGGCTCTAAGACAAGAGAGCTGCCAAAATGCCCCAAAGCCAAAACCAAAGGCTGGAGCAATACAGACCCCATACGATAGGGGCCTACAGGTTAGAGCCGATGGAAGGATAGTGCCCGGTAGGGGACTCATCACTGTGGTTCTCAACCATGTGCACAATTGCAAGAGACTTCAGCCTCTGTAAACAACCACCTTGGGGTTTATTTTACAAATGGGAAATGGAGCTTACTGTAGCCACAAGTGGTGTCTACCTCAGCCAGGTACTGTCCACCAGAAGTACAAGTAGGGTTCCAATCCCCTGTCACCAGGAGTGCTGAGCAGCACTGGTCAGTAGTGATGGTCACTACTGGTCTCCCTGAGGTAGTGTCTAGCAGAGGCAGCTGGGTTCCAGTGACAATTTGGAGGCCAACTGCCACCTGCCCTCAACCCACCCCGCGTCCTCCCTGCAGGTGGAGGAGAAATATCAAGAGGCTCAGGAGCTGCAGCAGCAGCGGAACCGGTACCTTACTCACCTTCAGCAGTACATGGCCGCCTACCAGCAGCTTGTGGCCACCTACCAGCAGCTGGCCAACGAGAAGGACGTCCTGCAGAAGCCGGTGCTGCTTAACACCCAGCTTGGCGACTGGATGCAGCACGAAGAAGAGCAGGGCAAGATGGAGGTCGAGTTGGCCCACCAAGAGCTGCTGGAAACACAAGTGGGACAGTTGGAGTGCCAGACACCCTGTGGCCGCCCGAGCAGGAAGACCTGCGAGCAGCATCCCTTCTCACTCTTTCCTGCCGGCCCCACTGAACCTCATGGCTTGGACTGGAGGAAGTGAGTGGGACTCCAGCAGAGGAGGGGTTTGCAAGAGTGGAAGCCACCCTTAGGACAATTTGGATCCTTCTCCTTTGGGGACTTGCTGGTGCAGGGTTGCACAGAGAGGAGGGGGCAGAGCTTGCTGGCTTTCAGGGATGCTTCAGAACCCAGGTGTTCTTTGAGGCCCTCTGTCTGCCCCCCAACAATAAATGGACTGAGCAGTGAGGAGGAGGAGGAAGAGGAGAACAAGGGTCCCCTGCCAAAGCTAAGCATCGCTGACGACCTAGACAGCTGCGAGGCCATGGTGAGCTCGGCCCCAGAGCCCCTTCCCTGCCCCACCTTCCCCCTCCCACCCTTCTCTTTGGTTTCCCTCCCTTTGATTAAACTTCCCCCCACCTCTGCTGGGGACCAGTGGGCAGACACCAACACCATCCTCGAATCTCAGGTGTGCCCACAGAGGCCCTGAGAGGTGTGCCTCCCAGCCCCCTGCCCGACCCTCAGGGACACCCTGTTCCTCTGGCCCACAGATGACATTTTGTAACGCGGCCTTGGCCAGTGCTGAGGAAGAACAGGCGCGGCTACGCGGGCAGCTCAAGGAGCAAAAGATGCTCTGCCAGTTCCTGGCTCAGCAGACAGCTCCATGGGACCAGGATCCTGAGAAGATGGAGGCCCCAGCCCCCGCCACCTGGGGGGAGAGTGTGCCTGGGGAGACCCACCAGGCCCTTCAGGGAGCCATGGAGAAACTGCAGGTGAGTGTGTGTAAGGCAGGAAGGAATGGCCACAGGGCAGGTTTTCTGATCCAGCAGACCAGGTACAGGAGAAGTGAGTCCTGGAAGCCTCAGTGACTTTTGCAGGCTTTTATTGGGATTTACCGGATACATGGCAGGCAGGGGTGCTGGGTGGGTCAGGAGGCAGACAGGCCTCCCAGCCCCCAGCAAGTCTTCACTCTTTCTGGGCTCTCCGGTGTTCTCTGGTGGTCTCTGCTGCTCTGCTGTCTTGGTTCTGCTTCTGCTTCTCTGCTGCTGCTGGCGTCCCCGTGACGCCGCCCTTAAAAGCCCAGTCTTGGGCCTCACCAGTGGCGCAGCGGTTGAGCACTGGGTTCCGAATCTGCCTGCAGCCTCCGCAGGGCTGGTTCGATCCCCGGCTGCTCCCCGGCCACCAGAGGAGGGTCCTGCATGGCGCACAGACCTCTCCTGCCGCCCGCTGCTCCCCTCAGCAGTGTACTTCGGTCCTTCTGCCTACTCTGCTCCCTGCTCTGGCTCTGGTGAATTCTCTCACCCTCCCGCGCTTCTGACTGTACCCAGTGTTTATATGAATAAATAAATAGGTAAATCTTTAAAAAAAAAAAGAGAGAGAGAGAAAGAGAGACTGACTTCACAAAGTTCATTTTAAATAAATAAATAAATAAAAGCCCAGTCTTAGCCCAGGTGAATCCCATCTACCTATACCCACACCCTACTCCAGGTGCCCGCATCAGGCATGCATTTGGGACCACAGGGTTCCATCATCCATCCTAATGTAGGGAGGGCAGAAAAGCCTGATACGTTTACCTGCCAGACAGTCTATACGAGTTATACACACGTTTCTCTTGGCGAATAGGAACACTGCAGCCATGGCCCACAAAAACAAATGAAATATATCACAATGAAATATAACAGAACACAAATAAGCCCAGGCAGGGGACCAACCTAGTGGCAAAAGACTATTGGCACCAGTACGTGATCCACCACTTCAGCTGCCGAAGGCACTGCTCATGCGAGAGAGGAAACCACTCAGGCATCTGCCGTTACAGGCCAGGAGCCCTCAGGCCTCCCGGCCCCCTCCAGCTGGGGTCTCGGCCACAAGCCACACACCGCATCCACCCCCAGGATGCGCTCACTCTTGGGTTGGCAATTCTGTACTCTTTGGGGGTAATCGCCCAACCCTCAGGGTTTCTGTCTGCAGTCACTCCAACACTCGGCTTTCATAGCCACCAATGCGACACGCAGGCCCCTGCACTCAGGCCAGCCCACTGCACAAGCACATGGGTCAGGGATCCGTGGATGCAAGTCCACATGCGGCCTCTCTTGGGACCCTCTTTGGCTGTGGGCTCCACCACAAGCCACGTTCCCCGCCCGTCCCCCAAAGATGGGCTCCTCAGCTCCTCACCCTCACTCAGCAATGAACAGGGCAACACCCACAGGTGATTTTAAGAGACTCACTGGCCTTCTTTAGCTTACACAGTGCTTAACAGCCACTCAGGGCTTCCCGAACTTAGCACCAGCTTTTTGCCTTCTCAGTTGGCTTTTTCTCCTCTGCCTGGATGCTGGGCAATACACTGGCTGCTTTTGGCCACCAAGGCCCACTGGCCACCCCCAGATTCCCATCTCCCGGGGGTGTACAATCCCATCCTCCCCCAGGGCCCCCAAAACATATCAAACTTGCCAAGGTCCTCCGCCTTCTGGCGGGATTGTTAGTCCATTAGTTCAAGTTCATCGGCTTTTCCCTTTGTCCACACTGGGGAGCTCAGAATCGTGGTCCTTTCTCCCCCGATGATTCTTGCTGCCTAGGCGGGGATTGTTGGCTGGTCCTCTCGGACATCTCCTCCTCCAGGCGAGGTCTCATCCCGCAGCTTCCGGACCTTTTCCATCCCCTGTGCCGCCATGACACGTCCAGCGCTGTCACAGGAAAACACTGTCTGCTGCTCCTCAGTCCCTCCCGGTCTTCGGAGGGCTCCATACCGTCTGCATGGAGCACCTTGCTGACTTACGCCAATTGTAAGGCAGGAAGGAATGGACACGGGGCAGGTTTTCTGATCCAGCAGACTGGGTCCAGGAGAAGAGAGTCCTGGAAGCCTCAGTGGCTTTTGCAGGCTTTTATTGGGATTTACCAGGTACATGGCAAGTAGGGTGCTGGGGGGCCGGGAGGCTGACAGGCCTCCCAGCCCCCAGCAAGTCTTCACTCTTTCTGGGCTCTCCCGTGTTCTCTGTTGGTCTCTGCTGCTCTGCTGTCTTGGTTCTGCTTCCGCTTCTCTGCTGCTGCTGGCGTCCCCGTGACGCCACCCTTAAAAGCCCATCTTAGCCCAGGTGAATCCCATCTACATATGCCCACACCCTACTCCAGGTGCCCGCATCAGGCATGCATTCAGACCGCAGGGTTCCGTCTTCTATCCAAATGGCGGGAGGGCAGAAAAGCCTGATAGTTTTTTCTTACCCTACAGTGTGGTTCTCCGGAGGGCTGGGCGGGCTGGGTGCTGGGCAGGCCGGCACTGCTGAGCCCCTGAGCCCACTGTCTGGCTGCAGGGTCACTTTACCAAGCTCATTCAGGAGAAAGTGGACTTACAGGACTGGATGGAGGAGCTGAAGCATCGATGTATCTAGATGTCTGGAGAGACTGACACCATCAGTGAGTGGGGAGGCCTGTGCCCCGCAGCTGGGGTGTTATGCAGAGGCTGGGGAGACCCCAGCAGCTGAGCTGTTTACACACCCTCCCCCTAGGACAATACATCACTCTCTACCAGACCCAGAAAGCAGTGATGAGGAAGGAGCACCGAGAGAAGGAGGAGTCCATAAGCCAGCTGGCCCAGAGCAAAGAGGAGATGAAGGTAGTCAGAGCTCTGGCTCCGTGGTGGTGCAGCTGGGGGCAGGGCGGGCTTCTGAGCATCTCTGCTTCCAGGTGAAGCTGTTAGAGCTGCAAGAACTGGTTTTGTGGCTGGTGGAGGTGCACAACGAATGGCGGGTGAAGCTCTGAGCCCCTGCCCAGAACCCTGCTGCTGAGCCCACTAGCGCATGCCTAGCCCCCAAGGAGCTTGGCGCTGCCAGCGGCCAAGGTGAGGAAAGCCCCGCACGGGCATCTAGGCAGAAGGAGCACACTGCGCCAGGCACACAGCATCCTGTCTCTGTCTCTCTAAAGCACAGAGTGAGGTGAGCCTCGTCCATGACGTGTAGCCAACCCAGGGCAAGGCCCAGCTGGGCCTGACTCCCCTCGAGAACGCCTCTGCGCAGCAGATCATTCAGCTGCTTCAAGAAATGCAGAACCCCAGGAAGCCGTCACCATTGGAAACAGCCCATGCCTTCCCTTCTTCTACCAGGCTGATGACAACAAGGTGAAGATAATGGTGGTCTAGGCCACCGGCATGGGGCCGGGGGCTCTGCCCCCACCTGGCCCTCACCAACCCATCCCTATTCCCCAAGCTTTCCCCCCCTGTCCTTTGGCTCTCCTTCCCAGTCATCCTTATATGCCTCGGCTTAAAAAAGGGGTACAACAACTCCCCTATCTAATAGGGGGAAACAGGTGCAGACCCTAGCCTCTTAGGTCAGGGCTGTGTCTTAATCTCTGGGCTAATCATACTTCCAGAGACAAGGAGCTAGAAACATCCAACTAGTTATTTAGGGGGCTCCCTTCTACAACATAGGGGCTCCTTGATGACCAATTGAATCCTTACCAGGCCTTCCTGCAGAGGGCCTAGGTTGTATCAGGCAATTTGGAGCCACGTGCCCCCCCCCACACTACCCCAACCATGTGGAATGGGGCAGCATTTTGAAGGCCCGGCATGGGGGCTAAGTCCAGACAGAGATACCAGCTGGGGCAGGTGGGCACCAACACCTGTCTAGAGTGTAGCCACAGAGATAGCAGTGGTTTATTTGAGACCACCCAGATCCACAAAGGGGTGGCCTCCCCTACTCCCTTTTGAAATTTCCCCACGGGCCTTTGCACCCAATTTTTTTTTTTTTTTTATTTTTTGTTGGACTCAATAATTGTTTTGATTTTTCTTTATTTTTTTCTTTTTACTTTTTGTTGCTCCCAATTATTTTGGAGGTGATCCCTAACTGCAGAGGGGAGGCCTCTCCTACTACCTAGCAAAAGTCCCCATGGGAATGTGTGCCCGATTATTTTGTAGGCACCCACCTATTAAGGGGGGGCTCTGCTCACTACACAAGTCTTGCGGCTTGAGGTTATCCTGTCCCCCTCATAAAAGTCCTGCGGGCATGAGGGCACCACAATCCTCAAAGGGGTGTCCTCCCCTGTCCCCACTCACAAAAAGGCCCGCGGGCATGAGGCCACCCCAATGTGCAAAGGGGTGGCCTCCTCCTTCCCCCCTCACAAAAGGCCCATGGGCATGAGGCCACCCCAATCCACAGAGGAGTGGCCTCTCCCATCCCGCCCCTCACAAAAGACCCGCGGGCATGAGGACAACCCAATTCTCAAAGGGGTGGCTTACCCTGTCCCCCCTCCCAAAAGACCCGTGGGCATGAGGCCACCCCAATGCACAAAGGGGTGGCTTCCCCCCTGTGCCCCCTCCCAAAAGTCCTGCAGGCATGAGGCCTCCCCGACCCGCAAAAGGGTGGCCTCCCCTTCCCTCCTCTCAAATGTCCTGCAGGTATGAAGCCACCACAGTCCACAAGGGGGTGGCCTCCACTTGCTGTCTTTACAAAAGTCCCGTGGGCCTCTGTGCCTGATTATCTTGGAGGCCACCCAGGATTTGCACAGAGGTGGCCTTCACTGCTTCTTTAATAAAAAGTCCCCATAGAGGGGATGCATGGCTTACTCAGGCAATTTGGGGGTACACACTCCCCCAACCCTGTGGAAAATTGGGCTTGGCCAGAAGCTGGGCCGGGGTGGCTGGTGGAGGCCAGGCGGAAGATGCATGGGCGCCCCGCGGTGTACATACTGTGCTGGGACGTGTGTACATGGGGCTGAGACGGCCCCTGTATCACAGCGGAGGCTGCGGTGGCCCCTGGGAGAGGAGGTTTCTATGAATCAGTTGACATCGAGGAAACTTATTTATAGATCGCCCAGGACAGAGGAAGGAGGCAAGGCCAGGGAGTGGTTCCTGGGGTTTCACTTTTGTTTCTGAATAAACCGAACTCACCAAGTGGTCAGGCCCTGGGATCTGGGCTCAGGGGCTGCGCTGGGTGTGGGTCCTGCCAGCAGAGGGCAGGCTTCGGGGTGCGAGGTGCGCATTGGCGCTGCCTGTCAGGGCATCCAACCCCGCTCAGCTCTCAGGCCCTACAGGTGCCATCCCACTGCGTGCCACCCCGGGAGGGCCAGCTCCTGCTCTGATGACCAAGACTGGGAAACCTGGTCTACTTTTATGGGAGGAAAGCAGGGTGCCAGCACCCCAGAGTACTGGCTTCCAGCCTAGGCATTTCTCCTCTCACCCTGTTCCTCTGGGGCTCCCACCAGGCCCCATGAGTCCTCCAGGCTGGCACTCTACCCCTGGTGGCCACAGCAGGGTTCAGATGAAGACCAGCTAACATCCAGATGCTTTCCAGGGCAGCCCGGGAAGGACTGGGGCATCCCAGGCACCCCTGCGCCCCCATGCTTAAACCTTCCCTTCCCCCTGAACGCCACAGAACACAGCCAGCACACAACACGTTGCTCCCCATTGTTCAGAAATGGGTTTCATTCTCAGCCAAGAGACAGCAGGACTGGTCGCGGCCAGAAGCACACAGCTGCCGGGACAGCACCCCCATGCTCGGGGAAGGGGCAGGAAGGTGGCAGGGGGGGCTGACTGTGCACAGGCCGGGAATGGCAGGGAGGCTCGTCGGAGGTGGCACGTGTTGGCGGAGGCGGCTGGGGTGACAGTGTTTGCTTGTAGTTGGGCCACAAGACTCAGAAGGACAGCACAGCACGGCGGTTCCCAGCACCAGAGAAGCGCTTGCACGTGTGTGTGTGCCCGTGTATTTATTGACATGCATAGAGCAGGGCAGGAGCAATACCACCGAGGGGGCACAAGAGTCACCGAGGTCACGCCTGGGGTGTCAGCTCACCACCACAACAGACTAAAGTCACAGATGAAGGGGGAGGCTTGGGGGCTGGGGGCCAAGTCACAGAACAGTCACCCAGGCAGGCCTGGGAAGAGAGGTGTCCCAGGAAGAGGAGGGGTCTGGTTAGAGGCCGAAGGGGGCCCTGGGGCTCTCAGGATGGGATGGACTTGCCTGACCCGATCAGCTGGCAGCTGGAGAGAAGCAGAGAGAAAACGGGGGAGGGCAGAGAAGGGGGAGAGCTGGGAAGGCAGGTGCAGCCTGGGCTGCAGCGCTGGGGGGAGGTGGGGAGGGAAGACGAAGCAGGGGAGGGTGTGGGCAGGGGTTCTGGATGAGAGGAGAGGGGGGACAGGGAGGGGGGATGCAGGAGCAGGAGCTGGAGCCTCTCCCTGCTCACTCGCCGGCCTCACACACACCAGACAGTGCACCCGTGTGCCAGACATGTGATCGGCCCCCTCGGCTCCCTCCTCTCTGTTCCCCTGTCTTTCAACCCACCAGCCCAGGGTCACCCTTAGTGTCAGGAGTAGGGGGCCTCGGGCCCCACGTGACTCCACCATTTCTGATGGAGAAAGACAGGGGAATACCACTGTTTGCCCCGGGAGGGCAGAGCTGAGAGGATGGCTGGAGGGAGCCAGGGGCTCCCTGGGGTAGGCAGAAAGCACAGTAGTTCCCCATATGGACCCTGGGGAGGCAGGGAGGGCAGGAGGCCAGATGCTAGTGGCCACAGGCTTATAAGTCTAAGAGGGGAGCCTCAACTGGCTGGGGGACCACAGGTCGTGTAGGTGAGGCTGGGCCCTTCCTGGTGTGGAAAAGCAGAAGAGCAAGCATCAGTGTAGGGGTGCGGGGGCAGGCAGGTCTGTGGGGCAAGTTTTACTGACCAGCTTGGGTAGAACTCAGAGAAGCCGACTTGCCCAGGTCAGCCGACACTGAGGTCCCCTGGCTGAAAAAGGAGAAGTGACACTATGGAACAACAGGCCCAGGTCCATGGGCCTGCAGGCAGGCTTCGGTGCTTCACCTGGGGCACAGGGACTGCGGTGGCCCTGTGCTGGCGGGAACAGCAACAGCAGGCACGGAGGGCAAGGCGCTCTGTGGCCTGCCTGGTTGCAAGGTGGCTGCGGGCCGAGGGTGTGGCTTGGACCCTCAGGCTTTCCAAAGCCATCAGACAACCTGAGCCTTCCTGAAGGCGACTCAGTTGCCACAATAAGGAGGAGGGGTCAGACCTCCTCTGCCCTGTGGTGGATCCGGTTCCAAAGCTCCCAAGGTGGCTGCCCTGCCCCAGCAGCACACTCACATAGGGGGATGGGGGCTGCACCCCCAGCATGAATTTCGAAGGCTCCCTGACGGCCTGCTCCCTGACAGCGGCACAAGCGGCCTATCAGCTCAACACCCTGCGTGACCATCTGCACTGCAGGTCCTCGAGCCTAGAGACTTCCACAGCCAGAGAACATCCACCTAGGTGGAAGGCCCGGGTAAGACAAGTCTCAGTGGCTGTCTTCAGTCGGAGGTACTTTGGGAACCTGGGGTTGGCTTGCCTGTATGAACTTAAGTGTGTGTGTGACCAATATAGGAATCAAATTCTCTCTGAGAGCCAACTTCTGACTGAAGCTTATCTATCACCCTCTTGGCAGATGCCTTCTCTCAAACCTCGGTCCCTTGGAGCTTAGGACAGATATGTGCCCCAAGCATCTCATCTTTTACTGCAGCGCTGCGTGGCCTCAATACCAATTGGACAATGGCTCCCACGGGCCGAGCATGGCGCTTTTGACTTCTCGATCCTTACAGACCTAAAGAGTTCTGTCACCGCAATGGAAAATGGTCAGAGATCCCTTAGGGCCAGGCTGGCTTTCTCTTGTGCTCCCGTGCCCCCCTCCAGCCCCTCCCTCCTGAAAACCTGCCACACTCTCCAAGTCTTGAGACTCCTCTCACTCTCCCCCTCTCTGGACCCTCTTCAAAGTTCTCTGATCCTCTAGATTCTCAGTCTTCACCTCCTCCAGCTCCCCAATCCGGCCTCCCCTCTTTTTTTCACCTCCTAGCCACCACACCCGTTCTGGGTGGTCCTCTTCTGGGTCCCCTCAGGGAAGTGGCGGGGACTGAAGGAGGAATTAGGGGCCATGGTCCTTCCTCTCTGTCTGGTCTCTCCCAGACTGAAAAGCTTCTTGGCTCTTTCACTAACAATCCCACCACCTACACCAAAGAGTTTCCTTATCTTACCCAAGCCTGTGACCTTACTTGTCATGACTACATGTGATCCTCTCTTCCACCCTGACCTCTGACAAAAGGGAGCAGGTTTTTAGGTCCGCCCAAGACCATGCAGATCAGGTCCCTGTGACTGACACAACCATGGCCCCAGGCTCTGCAGCAGTTCCCAGCCCAGAGCCGGGGTGGGGCTACCAGACTGACACAGGCAGGGCCCCCGGGGCAGGACTCACCAAGACCATTTTATTACCTGTCTCCTAGCTGGTCTCCAAGCAGCTGTGCACAAAAGTGTAAATTTTGCTAAGCTCAGGGAGATCACCCAGTCTGCCTCAGAAAACCCTGCTGCCTTCCTTAGTCGCCTGACGGAGGCGCTCCAGCGCCATACCAGGCTTGACCCTGACTCAAATGGAGGCGCAACAGTTCTGGCTACCCATTTTATATCTCAGTCAGCTCCTGACATTAATAGAAGCTTAAGAAGTTTGAGAGGACTCCCCTGATGGCGCAGATGGCAAAGCGCTGCGCTGTGAGTCTCTCCGAGGCCTCTGCAGTGCCGGTTCCATGCCGCCCGGCCAGCGAGGGTCCCACATGGCACAGCAGACCTCTCCTGCCTCGCCCGCTACTCCCCTCAGCAGTGTATTTCGTCAGTCTGCCTGTTCTGTTCCCCACTCTGTCTCTAGTGAATCCTCTCACCCTCCCATGTATCTGGCCTGGACCCCGGTTCTAGTGTAAATGAATAAATAAATCTTTTTTTTTTTTTTTTTTTAACGAAGGCTGAGGACTGTCCTCAAACCCCTATCCAGGATCTGCTGAATATGACCTTGACAGTTTTTAAAAACCGGAAGGAACAGGACAGGGCAGAGAGGGAACTCCGTAGTCTTCAGAAGGCTGGGCTTCAAGCTCAGGCCCTGGTAGGGCCTTGAGACCGCCAGGCCATGTTCCTCCAACCACCGCAGTGCCTGCCGCCCGACAGAGGATGACAACGGGCCCCATGGCCCCCAACCGACCACCGCTGGGAGCCTGCTTCAAATGTGGTCGAGAAGGCCACTGGTCCAGACAATGCCCCAACACCTGCCAGGAC